TCTCTCTCACACACACACACACACACACACACACACACACACACACACACACACACACCTTCAGAGACACGCCCGTCTGCACACTTCTGAATAATTTGAAACGTGGAACACTGATGATACTATGCACTGTCGTATGCAGTACCCATGAGCCTTATACGTCTACTTCATACTTGCGGCGCCCTGGTGCGGTGCGCTGCGCGCAGTGCGGCCAAGTTTCGATGAGCGCACTGTGCGCACAGGGCCTCGGGACCTGTGCGCACAGTGCGCCGATTCAGTAAAGACCATGCATTTTTCGAGCACAGGTCGGGCCTGTGTACCGTTCTGTCCACGCAGGTCCAGGTAGTTGAGGTTGTTAAACTCTGTTTTATTTTCTTCCTCTTCTTTTTTTTCTTCCTGTTCTTTTTTTTTTTTTTTTTTATGATTCGAGCGGTTGAAAGTGGGGGGTGTCCCACTCACCTGCATTTGGAATGCGAAGACGAAACACGGCAGCAGGCATTCGTTGCATCCATGCAATCGAGCGGCGGTATGGCATCACAAAAACACAGAAAACAAACTTTGAACAATCGATGATGCACCGCACACAGCAAAGAATGAGAAAGACAACAGAAAAATTGACAAAAAGTTAAAAACTTATATAAAAACGATCCACAAGTTCAAAATTCGAATTGCTTAGTAACTTGAGTTTGTCTGCCAAAACAGCACAGCGGGTGCACCCTACACCGCCTGTTCCCCTTCTTCCTCCTCACTCTCCTCCGGCTGCACCTCACCCTCACCGCCTTCTTCCTCGTCACTCTCCTCCGCTCCCTCCCCCCCACCGGAATCAGATGTGTCACTTGAGATGGAAGAAGTCGATGTTGAGCCTTCGAGCTCTTCGTCTCCCCGGATGTCTTCCGGGATATCGTCATCGTCGTCATCATTTATGATGGCAGCTCTCTTCGTCTTCCCAGCGGCAGCGTTCTTCGCGGCGGCTTTCGCCGCTGCTCGGGCTTTGGCCGCAACGGCTTTGACCGCAGCAGCTTTTGCTGCGGCAGCGTCAGCTGCTGCCTTGGCGGCCTTCTCTTCCTCCTTTCGTGCCCTGTGTTCTGCCTGCTCCGCCAATGTGGGACGGCCCCTCTTGGGCCGTGGCTGTTGTTGCTCAACAGCCTTCCTTTTGCCACACTGCACGGGCGCGTTGTCATCAACCTTCTCTTTGCCCTGGTTTGTGCGCCTCCTCCTTGGTCCCTCCTCCCGACCCTCCACCCATGTGACCGCCCGTCGAGCTGCCAATGCAAGAGCGTAGCCCTCCGTATACAACTCCTGAGGCACAGGCAGCTCGCTGCCTGATCTCCTACGCAACTCACGCTCACGGTATTTCCCAGGCTTCGTGCACTCGTGCCAATCGCGCTCCCGTGTACCGACGAGAACAGAGTCCTCCTCCTCACACAGCCTCTCGTCAACCTCGTCATTGCACTGGAAGGTGCGCCGCAGAGGAAACTCGTTCTCCTCGTCTTCGACGTCCGCCACAACCACCTCTTCTTCTTCCACCTCTCCGTGGACACGCTTCAGCCAATCTGCGTACCAGTCCTCCATCTCCTTGTCCACCGGGCCGTCATCCGCCCATGGGATGTGGATTTCATCCCCCCCGCCGCGCCGAATGCTCTTCAGAAGGCGGACATTCCAACTGTTGTACACRAGCTTGGYCATCCTCTCYGGCATGAGCTTCGTGCGCCTTCTCYCGTAGATGAGCTCATGCAAGCTCCAGTTCCGCTCACAAGCAGCGGAGGAGCTTGCCTGGCCAAGCAATTTGATGGCTTGCGGTGCAAGGAGGTCGTGTTTGGAGCCAAAAGCCTCCCACCACAAAGCTGGTGGCTGCTGGCTGGCTTGCTCGCGCGCCTTCTCTGTGGAGAACCCTCCTAAAGCGATGACCCACTGGTCAACCTGGAAGCTCACTTCCTTGAGCTTATCTCGTGGCATCCAGGAGTATAGCCAGATGTTGAATCCTGCGCGAACCTCCGGATCGCGCTGCACGTTCTGCATTCGTTGCTCAGGATCCAGGAAGGCTGCAGCGCAATGCAGCTCGCTGGTCATGAATGACCAGCGGTCCATGAGGATGCGCTCCACCGCCTCGTGCTCCTCACTTGAAAGGCACTCGAGGGCACGCGTGCGCTGAACAACCCGATCCATTTTGAAGTACACCTTCGAAATGGTCGGTCCTTGTCCATCCACCAGCCGAAGCAGCTCCACCACGGGCTGCATCACATCGAGCGCCTTGTTGAGGTTGTTCCAAAACTCGCCCTTGTCTAGAATGATGGCCGTCACCTCATTGAACGCCACTAACTGCTCTGCCCGTACCATCTTCTCCACCCATTCCACATCGCAAACGCAGCGATCCAGTGCATTCTTCAGTTCCTTCAAAGACCCGAGCATCGTGAAGTTGGTGGCAAATCTGGTTGCCGCAGGGCGCTTCAACTTCGTCTTCGGTGAGTAGTTGTGGAACATGGCCCTCGCCTTGTCCACATTCGTGAAAAACTTGCCGACCTTGTYCCCGRCATCAACCACCTCCGCCATCCAAGGCATGTGCTTATACATGTCCTCCAGCGCAAGATCGAGCGCATGCGCAGTGCATCCGACGCGAAAGATGTTCGGATAGGCGGCCTCCACCATCTTCCYTGSCKTGACGCACACCCTTGCGTTGTCCATGRTGWCACCAACGACTGCGTCCGCTCCGATCTCTTTGATGACCCCATCCAAGACACGGAAGTAAGCTTCAGCGTCCTTCTCCTTGCCCTCCATGCACACTGACTTCCAAAAGACCGTACCGACTGGCGAGGACACCATGACATTCAGATGGGGCTTGTTCCGGCGATTGGACCACCCATCCATCTGCAGCAAACACCTGGTCTTCTTCCACTTCGGGATCAGCGAACGCACCTCCGCCCCAACCCGCGCGTAGTCAGCGTCCAGCCGCTTCGTCCTTTGCTCATCCCTTCTGCATGGCATCCACGTCGGATGGGCCTTCTTCACCGCGTCAATGAACTCCAGGAAGTACTCATCCTCCACCAAACTGAACGGCTGGTTTGTGCAGATTAGAAACCTGTCGAGAAACCGACTCGTCCGCTCGTTGTGCGTGATAACACTGTCGGCCTCCTCGATCAATGTCTGCCGCAAAGGTCCCTTTGGAACTGGCTTCGATGCCTTCGATCCATGAATTGTGCCTGCAGTCGATTGAGGCGTGGGTGTTTCGTCGGTGATGCCCGCTGCACCCACCTGTGAGCTACGAAACTGAGGGACGTTTTCAGCGGCGGTCTGCGAATTGCTGGGGCCGGACCCTGATGCCTCTCCGTGCAACAGCACGCGAGCAAGCCACTTCCCCTGCCTTATCCCCTCTTCCCTCCTCGCCCTCTCCTCCACCGACATTT